ATGGTTATTGTTCGCTTGTCCTTTTTGTCATTCTCGAAAACCGAAATAAAAAGCGTGATGAACTCAACTGCAATGCARCACTTTTCGCTCTTTGTCCCTGATATACGGATGCTGAGTTCGGCTTACGCATAAAAATTCGTTTAAAAACACACGATTAACAATATCATTATAGGCTGATCATAGTAAAACACCCTAAATCAAGAATTAAAGTTTGCAATGCTTACTAATATTATCCAGTAACAGTTTTGAGTAACAGTTCTCTTGCTTTCAATCCCTTCGCTTTAATAAGGTAGTCATACATTATGACATCATTTAACCACCAGTCAATGCAATGGCTACTTGGCTTTGTTTGATTGGTGCAGACTGATGATGGTGGCGTGCAAAGAACTATGTACGACGGAGTCGGTGTAAATGTAGTCTAGTTTCGATCGTAAAATAAATGTTCCTAAATAAACGCTAATATTGGATATTTTATAATATATGATATCATATGACTGCAACTATATATTAGAAGCTATTCTGAGATAAGATCGAAGAGACGAAAGAGTGGTGGTCAAAGAATTATCTGTGGAATCACGAAAGAAATATCACCAAGGAGCGAAAAACAAGGTTCTAGAAAGACTAAAGAATTAAATGTTTACTTTAGCAAAAGCGAATCGGGGTTTCACCCAAGCTTGTCTAGGAATTATGCAAATTAGTAAGGCATAAATATGAATAATTACTAGTTGGAAGGGGGAACTCTGAAAAGAAAGTCTCTAAGTAGTATTAAATGGGCGGTTCCAGCACACAAAATTGAAAATTGCCGATCCTCTGATTTGCATCATAGAACCAAACAAAGTACTCTTACACAAGCCCTAAATCAACAAAATATGCCCAGCAATCGAATAGATCAGCGACCAGATTCTGAGAAAAACGGTGTGAAAAAATTCTGAGAAATGTCATGTAAGCAAATTCTGAGAAAAATGGCGTGACACAAATTCTGAGAAATGTCATGTTAGCAAATTCCTGGAAATCACGTGACTAGGGAAATCCCCAGAATTCAATCAAGAAAAACGTTTTTGGATTATGCGCCAAAATTAATGTTTTGAAATTAATAAAAATGCAAAATTAACTCGAGCTACCCTTGCCTTGTAAATATAGCCTGTAATCAACGTTTTGTACGTATATTTTGAGCTTAAATCAAACGAGGGTGCGTCTGTTGTATGAAAAGAAATCAATATTAATAATATATATCGTTAAGGATGAAGAAAATGAAAATGATGAAATTGAATCCTAACCGAAGAAATCTTGTCGAAGTTATTGTTGATGGTGCACCTTCATATTTATTCATCCTGTTTATGATTTGTACGTTGGGAGTAAAGAATCAAAGGCAATGTAGTAAATATCACTAGAAAAGTACCCCTTAGAGGTGATATAAAATATAGTGGATATTTTCAATATCATATGAAATATATGGTCATATCGTAGGTAGTGACTGAACCAGCAGTAAAAGTAGGGCTTACTTTATAAACTCTTGGTTCACCAGAATATTGAGTATGTAAATAAGATCAGGAATATAATGACGTCATGATAATTGTCTAATGGGAATGACCACTAATGGTTTGGGACCACTTGTAACGAGGACGTAGTTCTGCGGTATTTTTCTCATAAACGCTTTAAAATTTTATTAGCAAACATTTCGCAATAAGCTGGTTTTAGCAAAAACATTACCTTGAAGCCAACAAGGTTATGTCAGAAACTTAAATAAGTAATTTCTGATCCCCGGGGTTAGGYGATTACGTCTTGGTATCGAAGCACGAATCAAAGGTGTTTTGAGCCCACAAATGCAGTAGTATGAATTGTAGTTGATATTTGTATGTTGGAATTGCAAAAATACGAACTGCTCCTAATATGACAAGTACGTCTAGATAAAGTCAACTTACCTCTATGTTGCTTGCAAGCCAATGCCAAACGCCATGCACCAGAACCATTACGTAAGAGTGGAGTCGGTAAAACAAATGTACAGTAATTATAACATTCCCACGTGGTAAATATTTTGAATTCCTTTGGAAGGGATACGTTCGTGGGCCAAATATGAGTGGTGATGGACTAATGGGTGTAGGGGGCATGCCCCCTCTCCGAGGACAGGCTTAATTTAAATTGACCGATACGTTAAACTTTAGAATTGAAATGATCGTTAGTTTGTTGAATACTTGCTCAT